ATGTTCTAAAAATAAAGATGGGCTAAACCAAGTCAAAGCACACCCATGAAGTCAAAGAAGGTTGTAAGATAGAAAAAGACTAAGCTCTTGTTTGATCCCCATTTTTACCTGAAAATATATTTTTCCCATCACATCAATGTAGGACCTACACATTATTATATGTTTTGATTAGAATTCAAAAGGCATAAAATTCCAATTTTACCCATGGTCTCTCGGCTGAGTGGTTTTGGGATGGAAAGTCAATGGGCAAGGGCAAGGGCAAGGGCAAATTTTGGAGAAGAAGAAGTCTTAATCTCTGAGTAAATCACGTGAGTTGGTAGGCAAATAATGAGCAACGGTCCAAAAATTCATTATTGTGCAAAATTAATGGGGACAAAATAGTCCCTAATTAACACTGTTCATCTGTTTGTGCAGGCAATATGTTATTGTCACATCATTTAATGAAGTTCGAATGAACTTCATACATAAAAAGCCCTCTAATGTATTTTATCGGGTGATTTAAAAAGAAGAAATTTTTTTTTTTCAATTTTTACGTATAATATTATTTTATGAAAGATTCCGTGGTCGAGAATAGGGGAGGGAAAAATAAATATTAATTTAGTGGGGGGCAAATATGACAATAGCTTTACCATCACATAAGCTCATGATTATTTAAACTCCAAATGAATATGATTATTTAAAAGAAAATGGTGCCACAAATAGGAAGAGCACAAGTGCGAAGAGAACAAACGGCATAAGAAACAACTAGAATACTTGGTGGGAAATGCCAATTGATAGTTTTTATAGCCGAGAATGAAGAAAAAAACCAACACCACGTTTATCATTTCTCTCTCTCTTTACAGTTTACCCACATACTCCACCATTGTTGCTTCACTCAACAGCCAACAATTTGGATCATACAACTTTTCTTGAATACACTCATATAATCTCTGTCTTCCTCTCTCTATAGATAGTGTTTAGAAACTTTCACCTCTTTCTCTCTCTCTTTCTATCTGCATATAATGTTGGGAAGTAGAAACTTAGGATTGATAACCACATTTGTTGTGGGTGTTGTGCTCCAGATTATGATATGCTGTGGACAAAACATTAGCAGAGCAAGTTTTCCAAAGGGTTTTGTTTTTGGGACGGCATCTTCTGCATATCAGGTTAGTTTATTTCATCTCTAACTCTCTTTCTGTTCAACATGCACCACGCATTATGTCCTTGTTTCATAAAACATGGTTAAAATTTTATCAACTTTTCAACTGACCGAACTTTATCCACCGATGGATTTATATGATACATTATCAATGCTTAATATAAACTCAACATCGATACTTGAAAGATCAATTTCATACGCGTGTGTGTGTGTATGTAATGTCACTTTCTCTTTCCCGGTTTGGATTTTGCAGCGTCTTCTTTTGCTGTCATTTGTACCTTACCTTTTTCTTTTTTGTCTTTAACAAAGTTTGTCCCCCCCATAATGTGGCTTATGATTTCAATACATATTAAGCCCCTAGTTGACATTCATTAAAATGAGTTTCCGAGGAAAATTAGTTTGGAATAGTGATTTTTTTTAAGAATGTTTAGTTAAAATATAGGAAAAATGTTTGCATTTATGCATAAAATATTTTATTTTGTGAATGTGTTAGTTGAAAATGAGTTTGAGAGAAATGGAGTTTTGATTTAATGGATGTCAAAAATGGGCTAATTGGGAATTGATTTTATCACTTCAGACATCTTTCATATGTTGTTCTGAGTAGAACTATAGATGGACAAACGTCTTTGTGTTCTTAAAAAATAAATAAATTAGAACGTAAAATATTAAAATTGAGCACGAAAGATGTATTAGAAGAGAATATGTAAAATTAAGAAAGTATTTTTTCCATAAAAAAAATAAAAATAAAAAATAAATTAAGAAAGCACGATTAAGTAGGGATTTATTTGCAACTGATGTTGATTTCTAGGAGGGTGGTTTTCAATCAATGATTTTATTATAGAAGGGCATGTTTATCATTTCAAGAGAGATTCCATTAGATAATGGTGGGGACATGTTAATGACCTCTGCGCACGAGGGAAACTCCACGAAATATTGAGGGGAATTGGCTTAATCGCCCTTTCTCTTCTACCCCATATCTTTGAAATGCTTCTATGAATACCCTGTCGTATGCCGAATAAAACATATAGTTAATTGAAATTTATAAAGAAGAACAACGAGTCTCACAAAATGTGTGTATAATAATTAGTAGCTATGAAATCCCCGTTTGGATAAGACAGAACGGGGCACATCTGTTGTTATCTTCTCGGTCTAATTCCACATCTTATGAGGAAAGTGGAGTCGGCGTGGCGTAAAGTGAAAATTGGGGGAGTAGAGAAAATTCCCTTCTGGGGGAGATGTGCAGAAGATCCGACTATTGACTAATGAAATTATAGGTGCCTACCCTCTCTCGCTGTTTGGAAGTCAAATCCTGGTTTCCAGATATGGTTGCCGGTTGACATCTCTTCTAATTCGTCGATATGTGTACTTGAAATAAATGATTTTGACTATTTATAGTATCCCAACGTAGCTCAAGCTTTGTATGGGAAGCCTAAAAAATTTGCATTAAAATTTGCCGTGCTCACTTATGAAAATTGTGCGCCTATGAGACTTTTTATAAATAATGAATTTGGCCCACGTGTGCTGGAACATGTTCAACACTAATTAAAGTATTTAGTGTTTGCTCGCTGCCTAATAGTTTAAGCTTTCAATGAGGTGGTTCAGTTTACTTCTGCTTGTTTGCCTCTGTTGACACTCAATTGAAGACTGAAAATTGCCAGTGTGTAAAGGTCATGAATTACTATATCTGTTTCCACCAGGGCCGGCCCTGGCCCAAGGCAATCAAGGCCATTGCCTAGGGCCTCCAACTTGAAGAGGCCATATAAAAAAAAAAAAAAAAATTTAAATTAAAACTCCGAGACCCAACAAAATATTTCCTTGTTTTTTGGGTTGGGTCTCTAGCCCTTTAAAATACAACAATAAAATTGGTCTAAATAAGAGGTCCAAATTACTTGGGTCATTAACTTACATTCTTGTTTAAGAAATAAAATGGATCTTTAATTAAACTATTGCATAGTGATATATTTTGCTGTATTTTTCTATCTACCAAGATAACAAGATCTATCAAAAAAATAAATAAATAATATATATATATATATAGAATTTGAATTTATCATAATTGGTATTAAAGAGACTTCTATAGTTACTAAAAAAAATTATATTTAAGGGCCTTGTAACAATTTGTTGCCTAGGGCCTCATAAATTTTAGGATCGGCTCTGGTTCCAGTATATTATTCTTCCTTGTAACAATTTGTTGCCTAGGGCCTCATAAATTTTAGGATCGGCTCTGGTTCCAGTATATTATTCTTCCTATGTAGTCTTTAAGGCCATATTTGATTGTGTTTTTTTTTTCTTGGGAATTCCATTTCTTACTTTTTCCTGGTTTGATACCCCAAATTTTCTTGGCAACCCACTCACAAGCCTCTTTTCTTAGATTTTGTGGAATTGGTGAGAATTCCATATTGGTGAGAATTCCAATTCTCAGTACTGTAGCTTATTTTTTTTTAATTTTAATTTTTTTTCAATGGAGACAAATTTTAAGAATTATTGTAAAAAAATATTTCCTTATAATTGACAATTTCCATGGAAAACAAAGTCAAACGAACATCAAGAGATAAATGATCTTCTTAAATTTTATTTTTTTTTGTTTTTTGGCAATAGATTTTATCACTTTAATTGACAATTTTCATATAAAATAAAGTCAAACGAACACCAAAAAATACATTTATTTCAACGAATTCCACATGTATAATTATATCAATCAAACACAATAATTTACAATTCTCAGGAAAACAATTTCTAGGCAATTCAATTTCCTAAAATTCATTTTCTTTTCATCCAAATTCCCTCTTCACAATCAAATGGACCCTAGATGTTCTTTAATTATCAATTCAACTTTGCAGTTTGAAGGAGCTGTCAAGGAGGATGGAAGAGGTTCAGCAATCTGGGACAAATTTGCACATTCCTTTGGTAAAAAGTCTGAAAATATTGTGAAACAAAACAACACATGGACTTTTATCTTCGTTTTCGCACTTAATATAGACTTCTTTTTCGATAATATATGCAAATGTCACCATATTAGAGATAACATCAATTTTTTGTTTTCATAGGTAAGGTCATTGACTTTAGCAATGCAGATGTAGCTGTGAATCAGTATCACGTTTATCCCGTAAGTTTTCTATGATTATATAGTACTTCACAGTATTAAGAAATAAAAAAGAATTATAAGTTTTTGTTAAGTATGGAGTCGAGTACTGAACGTTCTGAACAAAGGTAGCATACAACATCTTATGGTTGTCTTAATGCAGGGAGATATACAGCTTATGAAAGACCTGGGAATGGATGCCTACAGGTTTTCAATTGCTTGGTCCAGGATTTACCCTAGTGAGCTTTCTTTCAAAGGACTTCTTTAACATTCAACGCGTAAAATTTGCTTGTTTCTTGAAACACATTCCTCTGCTTTTTCTTAAAAGGAACAGAATGTTTGAATTAGCTCCTGAATTTTTGCACTTTTAGCTCGGTGACGATAAGCCAGTACCTTGTAAATAGTTCATATCACCCCGATCATCGTACTTTCTTGTGCTTACTAGATTAAGCCCCCAATTCCCACTTCCGGGAGAAAAAACAAACAGAATGAAGTGTCTCTTGAGTACCATTTTCTGCAAAATCTCACAGCAAACCCAATCTGGAAGTTCTCATTATCTGTTTCTGTTATCAGATGGTACAGGGCAAATCAATCGAGCAGGAATTAATCATTACAATAATCTCATCAATGCTTTACTGGCCAACGGTAATCTTGCTATTTGATCAAACCGCGCTAAATTATGCTTTTCCATTAAAAATTACTGAAACTTGATATTTTATGTATGCAGGTATAGAACCTTATGTGACTATTTACCATTGGGACCTTCCTCAAAGTTTGGAAGATAGATACACCGGATGGCTTAATCCGCAAAGCATGTAAGTCGATAATCTTTTAACTTAACAAGATATGTTCTTTTTGTTTTTGTAATTACTAGTATCAAAGAATTAAACAAAAAAGAGAGCTTGAATTTATTCTTTTTACAGAAAAGACTTTGCAATATATGCCGAAACATGCTTCAAGGAATTTGGAGACAGAGTAAAGCATTGGATTACATTCAACGAGCCTCATACTATGTCTGTACAAGGCTTTGATGTCGGGCTTCAAGCACCGGGGCGTTGTTCCATTCTTCTTCACGCATTTTGCAGGGCTGGAAATTCTGCTAATGAGCCTTATATTGTTGGCCACAACGTGCTTCTTTCACACGCTGCAGCAGTGGACATTTATAAGAAAAAGTACCAGGTAACCATAAGAAATGAAATAAAATCTTAAAAGTATATAATTACTTATCATTCAAGTAGATTATTTTGATTTACCTATTTTTTATTCTAGAAAGTGCAACGTGGGTCAATTGGAATATCACTTGATTCCTTCTGGTATGAACCGAAAACAAACTCTTCCGACGATATTGAAGCCACACAAAGAGCAATAGATTGGAACTTTGG